AATCTGAATGTTTATAGCAGCTTTATTCATAATAGCCAAAAACTGGAAACAACATAGATGTCCTTCAACAGATGAATGGTTAAATAAAATGTAGTACACATCCATACCATGGAATATTATTCAGCAATAAAATGAAACAAACTATTGACACGTGAGACAACTTGGATGACTCTCCACAGAATTATGCGAGGTAAAAAAAACAGTCCCAAAAAATTATATACCATCTGATTCCATTTATATCATATCCTCAAAATGACAAAATTATAAAACTAAAGAACAGATCAGTGGTTGCCAGGCTTTCAGGAGGAGATGTGAATGGAAGGGCAGTTGGGGGCGGGAGGGGGGCGCTGTAAAGGGCAACCCCAGAGGCGCTTAGAGTCGTGGAGGTGCTCCCTCTGGACTAGACCAGCATCTGACGCTGACTGTGACGCTGCACTACAGCGGCGCAGGGTGGAACCACCGGGGAAACTGGGTAACGGGTACACGGGATCTCTGTATTATTTCTTGCAACTGCAATGGATCTATAATTAAAATAAAAAGTTTCATTTTAAAATGTGCTCTTAGCCCTGGCTGATGTGGCTCAGTGGATTGAGCGCTGGCCTGCAAACCAAAAGGTCACCAGTCTGATTCCCAGGCAGGGCACACGCCTGGGTTGCGCAGCCAGGTCCCTAGTTGGGTGCGCCAATCAATGTATCTCTCCCACATCTTGATATTTCTCTCCCTTTATTTTGTCTCTCTAAAAATAAATGAAATCTTTAAAAATAAAAAAATAAAATGCATTTTACTTTCCACTCCAATTAAAAAACAAAAAAACAAAATACAAACAAACAAAAAACAACTTGTTCTTCCTACAATCTCCCTGTCAGTTAACGACAACTCCATTTTTCAAGCCAAAAACCTTGGAGTCATCATGTTCTTAATATCCGACATGCAGTCAGTTACTCTGCCCTCGAAATGCATGCAGAATTTGAAGGCTTTTCATCGCTCCGCTGCTACGGCCTCGGCCCGGCCCTCACCCCAGCCCTCACCGTCTCGCCTGGAATAACACAGCAGCCTCTGAATACACGATCTGCCAGCCTCTCCCCTAACCCCTGCTCTCCACTCTCCACAACAGCCAGAGTCATCCTGTAAAACTCAGGGTAGATGATGGTCCTCCTCTGGGAGTTCTCCAAGTGCAGCGCAGGGTCTAGTCCATAATAATGTAGAAATTATGTATGGTGCCAGGCAGGTCCTGGAAATATCGGGGGAACACTTTATAAAGTACATGACTGTCTAACCACTATGCTGTATACCTGTAACTAATACAAAATAATACAGGATGTAAACTGTGTTTGAAAAAAAAATAAACCCTCTGGGAACTCTCCATTTCTCTCAAAAATGGAATTCCAAGGCATAATAATAGCCCACGAGACCCTACCTGCCCTGACCCCTCACTTCAAACTCACCATCCCTTACTCCTGCCCCCGCCTGCTCTGCCCCTGCCACCCACTGGACAGGCGGCAGGCATTCAGTATTTAGTGATCCTGCTCTTGACCCACTCTCATCACACCACTTCCCAAGCTGCACCTCTGCTCCTGCTGCACCCTCTGAAAAGCCATTCCCAGGGTTCTCAGCCAGGCAAAACCCCACTCATTCTTCTAAGATATCTCCATTATCACCATATTTGTTGTAACTCCAATACCTAGCACCAGGGAGGAGGAGAACTCCTTAGCATTGTCCAAGGACTAAGCACTTGGAAGGAATACACAAGAAGACAAACTAAGAATTCATCTAACACACTTGATGCAAATAACATCAACCTCCTGGACCTCCACTCCTTCAAAACAGGAAGTTGATCCGAAGAAGAACAAAGTGATAACTCTGACTTTACAGAGTTAATTGCTGAGCTTCTAAAAATATATTACTTTAGACCTCTAAGTGTTCCATTTCTATCCTTCCTTAGCTGATATTACCTCTCTACTTAAAATTTAACATTTAAAATAAAACTTCCTAAATTTAATCCTCTATTAGTCTCTTTAAAATAAAATTGTCTTAAAATAAACTATATCAGTATTTCTCAAACAAGAATGCAGAGGACCCTAAGAATTCATTCACACAGTGGCCTGGGAAACATTACCTTAAAAAAATTAAATACATTACACATTAAATTTAGGTAATTGCTTTGGAGCAGTATGAGGGCAAATGTAAAAAAGCAGAGACTTTTGAAACGGCATGTCAAGATTTGGTCACCTAAGGTGACCATCCCATGATCCAAAATAATGTTTATATTAATGTTTTAGACCTCATAAAAACAAAAACATAAAACTTAAAAATCCTTGCAGATTGCCAAGAATATACCCAAGCACTGAAATTTTAAGAAACCTAATAAGGAATTAAGTTTAAATAAATCTGATGTGGTAACTTTCTAACTTCCTATGCTTATTGAAGTTTGCAACTCAATACATTCTATCTAGACTTTAATTTTCTTATTACAAGAGTAATGCTTTGAGATCACTCTGCCATAAGGCATGCTTATAAAAACACTAATATTAGCCAAAGCTCTGTACATGCTACCTTATGCTGCAATTAAGCTGCTTCCCTATGTTAGTTTTCATTTACGTTATTTTCAGCAGGGAACAATCTGAATTTCATATATATAATGTAAAAAAGAAAGAAAGAAAGAAAAAGAACCCCTGAGATGTCCCACCACAGTTGGATCAATATTTCTGGGACTCTAATAAATAAAAACCTACACAAGAGGACACCTTAATATTCCACACTCCCCCTCACTTACCCCGCCCCCAAATCTAAAGATTTTCAACCACCTCTTAAGGGGGAAAGTTGTTTCTGAAACTACAGTTACTAGCCATATATCCCCAAAACCATATAGCTTAAGCATTCCAGCAAGAAATGTAAATGTTTAGGTGTCAGTTTTTTCTCAGGTGATCAAATGACCAAAACAATCATCTACTTAAGTGCTTTAGGAACACAACTATCTGTATCAGCCAGGGAAGTCCTCTGTATTTTACTAATGATGAAAGGGCCTTGGGAAAATGGACCTCAGTCCTTCCCCACAGACGTACAAACACATCCGGTGGGGGCAGCGGGGGGAGTGGCAGTTGCCCTACCCTCAGCAACCACAGCGCTTTAGTAGAAGAATGTATGTCTAGACAGCCTCTGTTGACCTATAAGAGAACACTATCCCTTTCATACTGTTTTTCAGCTGAAAACTCAAAATAGATTTAGGGAGAAAAGCAGGATTGTGTCTTGGCCCAAAATAAAAAAGGGACTATTAAACAAAATACTGCTTAATCATTGTAAGTTCTTATTAGTGATTTGTTCCCCCTAAGCTGCAGGCCCTGGTTTATAGATTTCCTCATTTCTCAATGAAGCCATCAATATATCTTGATTCACAATGTAACATGTAACATTTCTAAGTAAAGTAATACTTAATCAGGCAGGTTTATTTGCAACAGTCAAGATATGGAAACAACCTAAGTGCCCATCAATGGCTAAATGACTAAGGAAGGTGTCAGATATATAAACATGGACTATTACTCAGCCATAAAAAAAATGGAGTCTTGTCATTTGGGACAACGTGGATGGACTTTGAGGGCATTACACAGAGAAAGATAAATACCATATGATTTCACTTATAAGTATAATCTTAAAAAAAAACAAAAACAAATCAAAACAAGGCCAAGCTCATAGAGAGAGAACAGAATGGTGACTTGTGAAGGGGTTGGAGAGAAAGATTGGCAAAGAAAGTCAAAAACTACAAACTTCCAGTTATAAAATAAGTCAGGGGGATGTAATGCACAGCATGGTGCCTTTAGTTAATAATACTGTTGTACTGCATATATGAAAGTTGTTACGTGAAAAAATCTTAAAAGTTCTCATTACAAGAAAAAAACCGTAACTATGTATGAGAACATATGGTAACTAGACTTACAGCAGCAATCAGTTTGCAGTGTATACAAATATCAAATCTTATGTTGTACACCTGAAACTAATGTATATGTCAATTATATCTCAATTAAAAAGTAAACATATTTTAAAAAGGAAATACTTAAATCCCATAGAGGCATTAAGATAAAGCAGGATTGCCCCCAGCAGGGTAGCTCTGTTGGTTAGACCATCGACCCCTACGGCAACATTGTGGGTTCGATCCCGAGTCTGGGCATATACAAGAATCAACCAATGCGAGCATAAATAAGTAAAATAACAAACTCATGTTTCTTTCTTTCTTTCTTTCTTTCTTTCTTTCTTTCTTTCTTTCTCTCTTTCTCTCTTTCTCTCTCTCTCTCTCTCTCTCATTAATAAATAAAAATTGTTAAAGAAGAAAAGAAGCAGAACTGTCCTGTTGACCCAGGACCCAGGGAAGGGGGATTATGTTTACAAGGAATCTCCCTTGTCCTGGAATTTCCCCCCGCGCCCCAAGCCCCCGCATTCTGGCTCTTTATCAAACACCAGCCCAGACCTCGGAGCTGCCAGCACCCGGAGCCAGCTTTTCCCTTCACTGCTGCTCCCCATCAGCCCAGCCCGGCCACTGCTCCTGCCCTCCGTGGTCCTGCTGGATCCCTGGGTGCCCTCCCTTTGGGACGCTCTGCAGACGCCCCAACTTCTAACCGCGGCCACCGCCTCAGCACCGGTCTCCTCCGCCGCCTCCTCTCCACGGTCCTAACTGCCCCCTCCGAGAAATTCTGGAGACCACACCACGGCCACCCCAGTGGCAACCCACTCGCGAGCGTAGACCACACCCCCAGCCCGCCCTCCCCGCCCCTCGGCTCCCTCCGCCGGCTGCTCCCCGGGTCCCGGCCCCCTCTCAACCTCTCTCCTCGGGCCTCTTAGACACCCACTTCGTTAGACCCCTTCAGGCAGCCCACTCTCCCTCCTCGGGCTGGTGGCGACCCTGCCCCGCCTTGAGAGCGCCGCCCGCTCGGGACACTCGGGAGCGCCCCTTCCCCGGCTCCGCACGTCTAGGGGTCCGCGCCACCGCCCTGCCGCCGCGCCCCCTTTACCACTGGACACGGTGGCGGACGCGAGCAGGAGGGCCAGGACCAGCGGCCGCTCCAAACCCGCGGGGCCCAGGATGCCCAGCCTGGGCGGCAGCTTCGCTCGCACGGCCCCACTCATCCTCCTCAGAGCGACAGCGGCCATAACGGACTCTGCCCGGAACCTGCGCTGTTGCTAGGCTCTACGTCAGGACGTCAGGCGCGCGTAGGATCCACGGCGCTCGGCCCTTGCGTCCGAGCGTGATGACGTTCATCCTGCCCCGGGGCCCCAGAAGGGATATGGAAAGGACAGGTAGTGGGAGTCGGGGGGCAAAGGGGAAGCCCCCGAGGTCTGTGGCGGGTTAAGGCTGTAACGTGTGTGGTGCGAAGAGGGTCAGAGCGAGCCGCTCCCTGCCTGCCGCACGACGGGCCTCCTCACAGCCAATAAAAGTGTTTTCAAACATTTTTGAGCGGAAGAGGTAACTGTTGAATAAACTGATCCCTAAAGGGATCCCCTCCCCGTGTCCTCCCGGAGGCGGAGGAAGCAAATGTTAACAGTGACAGTGGCTGGGTGGCGGGATTATAAGTAAATGTTTTATTTATTTTTTATTTTTACCCATAATCTGCAACAGATATGCAGCAACCTCTCCATGTTTCAGTATACAGCAGCGAACAAAACAAACCCTGCTTTTGTGGAGTTTACTTCCCTGTGAGGGCCTCTGTTGTGTAAAATGTACACTATACGCAATAGAAAACGTATTAAGGAGGAAAAGCTGGGAAGCTGGCTAGGAAACAGGTGCAAAGAGCTTCCCCGTTTCCTGCAATCAGTTTCTATTACTTTCTTAATTTCGTAACTAAAAAGTCCCAGTATAGGGAAATTCAAATTTAGAAACGTCCAGGGAGTTCCCCTTAAGGCCCTGGCACAGTGCTGTGTTGTGTAAATGTTTCCTTAATAAACAGCGGTAGGCTTCAAATAATAGAAGTTCCATCGGGTGAATTTGCAGGGAAGTCAGCGCGTCACGGAGTGAGGCGTTTACTGCGCCGACAGCCTCACTGCCCTGGGCTCCGCGAGCCCCTCGGAAGGCCGCCGCCGGCCCCCAGACACAGCTGAGCGGCCTCTGAAGAGAGACGGGCCTGTGTTCTCCTGAATCTGGTTGCCCTTAACATTCATCTGGCCCAGGTGACAGCTCTGAAACACAAACTCCACGTTGTTAAGAAAACTAAAAAGCCATTCATCTGTTCATTTCCCGCAGCCCACCACCAGCCCAGAGAGGCTGAATGGCGCCCTTATTGCGAGGCGGCCGGGGGAGCGAGGGCACAGCGGGTCCCTGGAGCGCCCCCTGCCGGGAGCACGGAAGCCACCGCTCACGGGAACGAATGAGCCTCTGAGTTTTAGCTTCTGCTTGTCGGGAGATTCACGTTTAAACAGGCCTTTTCCTATAATAAACACACCTTCAATCCTCTCCTTTGCCCCCGATTGCTTCAGTTCTCTTACTGGTGCGCAATCATGAACTCAAAGCATTTTACACGATATTCTGGCATGCTGCATGCAACAGGCAGGTATTTAAATGAAAATGGGGAAGAAAATATTCCCTCATACTGAGGGCCCTTCGTACCTGGCACCTGGCTGGATGTGCCTAGTACCCATTATGTGCCAAAATCTCCAGACAAATTCAACAAAGTTCACTTTGAAGTAGCTGCACGTCATTACGAACCTGATGAAGGCAGTATGACAAATAATGAGGTCAGCAGATCTGGGGTGATCACACAAAATACTAGAAGTAAATCTGATACCTGTTTGGAATTGTCACTTCCCGATATCCATAAAAAAGGAATTCTGCCTACAAATGTATCATTGAATAGAAAAAAAATGTTCGCATTTGTTGAAACGGTAATATACGTGCAGTTTGTTACTACTATGTGAATGTTTGAAATTTAATCCTCACCGGAGGATATATTTATTGATTTTGAGAGAGAAGGGAGAAACGTCTCCGGGAAAGGCCAGTCCGTCACCTCCCACACGCTCTCTGACCAGGGATCGAACCAACAAACACCCTCAGTATGCGCCCTGACCGGGAATCAAACCCACCTTTTGGTGTACAGAGTGCTGCAACTGAGCCACTCTGCCAAACTCCACCATGTTACTTTTTTAATTATAAATATATGGCAGAATTCTAAAACCCTTCCATGCCTTCGTATAAGCCCGTCTTGGAGTGCGGGAGGAACCTGTAAATATATTACTCCTGTGAAGGCTGCTGTATGGCACAGATGACTTCCTGAGACATCATCCTCAGTGGACCTGACATAATCAGTGAGCCCTTGAAAGGAGCTGGGGCAAATTATGGATATGTAATATACAACATGGTGACTATAATTAATGAGGCTGTGTTGTGTATTTGAAAGTTGCTAAGAGACTAGGTCTTAAAAGTTCTTACAGGAAAAAATTGTAACTATGTATGGTGATAGATGTTAACCTTATGTAGATGTTAACCTTATGTATGGTGATAGATGTTAACAACATTTCCATGTTGTGAGAACCCTAACAGAGAGCCCGGCCACACCGTGCTTGGATTTCTAACCTGGAGAACTGTGAAGTGAGCGTTTTAAGCCGCTAAATTTGTGGTAATTCGTTATGCGACAATGGAAAACTAAAAATCTCTTTCTCTCTTTCTCTCTCTCTCTCTCTCTCTCTCTCTCACACACACACACACACACACACACACACACACAGAACAAAGGGTCAAAGAAAAAGACCAAATGCCCGTTCACTTACACTTTTATTAATGAAGACAACAAAAGGAGGAGGTTTCATATTTTATTCAAGTTTTATTTTAAGTGATGTTAATTACAGCATTTGAAAGGGATGATCTAATTCCACACAATGGAAGACTCTACAATGTACCCATTAAACTGCTAAAAAATAAACTGAGTGGCGAGAATACAACAGAAGTCTGTCTTAGGTTCCGAGTGTTGTCACCATGTGATTACAGTCACTGAGACTCTTCCCAGCTTCAGCTGGAGCTCTTAGAAGCTATTTCACACTCGGGTGCAAGGGCAAAAAAACCACGTGAGAGGGAATTAAGTCCTGAATTGTTGGCTTTATCACATCCACCTTCTCCACCCCAAAATGGCACAAAAGAAACAACTACCACACCCTGCAGACTACTTTTGGTGTAAAAGAGGTGATGGACTGGGGTGGAAACAGGTCATGAAGATCTGTCTAAAAAAGTCCCTTCAGATGAGTTTGTACACACCACCAAACTGTGGGCCTTTCTCAGTTAGGGTAGGAAGTCAAGGTTCAATTCTCAGGAAGTCACAATTTCATTCATTGAAGCAATACAAATTTACAAAGTGCTTACAAATCATCAGCTTCCACTTGCAGCCATTTCTAGATTAAAAAAAGAAAAGAAACCTGACATCTCTAGAGGGGCTGCCAAGTCCCCCCAAGTCTACAGCTGAAAGGACCTTTTTTTGGAATCGGGTTTCTTCTCTACCTCTGAAAGGGTAACACCTTAAAGCTGAATCATCTTCAAACCGGGAGGTCTAACATGATATTTAGCAATACTTGCATCCCAGACATACGACATTAAAAGGTACACTAAATTCTGAAGGTAGCTATGCTGCAAAATAGTTTAAAATTAAACGATTGTACAGTCTTCATTTATGCTTGAAATTCCAGTCCTAGACCAAGCTTGTGGCCACCAGCGTTGACATTCTTGCCATCCAGCAGAGCTGACAGCGTCAGTTTGATACCTGCAGCGGGGGAAACCAGGGAGAAGAATGGGGGAGGTGCAAGGAAAAGAGAAGAAAAGTTAACACGCGGAGGAATGCGGTTGGAACCCACTGGCAAAGCCAGGCCACGCTCAATGTGCCTGCTCCAGCTGCGTGACCAAGGGAAAAGCCACGTGGCCCTTCAAGCCCTGTTACTTAATGCCGTCTGACTCGTTCCCAGGTAGCCTAGAATGAGCTTACACAGCCATCAGTGTGACTCTGCTGCCTGCCCAAGTCCACTCTGTGGACTCCACGTTCCTCTTTCCTTTCATCGTCTCGGGCCACCACTAACCTCTCTACCATTGGCACCACGCAGTAAGCTTCTCCAGCAACAGCCCCTTGAAACGAAACCCCAGTCATGAATCAGACACTGAAGTCTTACACCCACAGTCACAGCATGCGCACGCGCACAACTGATTATTTCCCCTGGAATAGCTGGATTCTGACATCAGGTAATCTTAGGCTTCCAGGGTTCAAAGGCCCAGCGTATAAAAGATAAGCCCAAGGTGGTGTCAGCTCCGGCAGCTCTGCTACACCGGGGACCGGCCTGGCCAGCTGTGCAGAGGAGACGTGCAAACCAGCTTTACCACAAGGGTGACTTACGCGCTGGTTTTAAGAACCTGTGGGAGATTAGCATCAAGCACTTCGTCCACTGGGGGGACGGGGCGGGGAAGGCGGAAGAAAATAACCAAAAATGTAACATACATTAGTTAGCCTTGCTCTTCTTCTCTCCTACTTACTACTCCTATTCTCTGGATGTTTTGTAATGGCTGCATGCCTTTGTAAATGCTTCATCATAACACTTAATAGCCACTCATTTACAATGCACTACATATGTCTTTTATAAGCAATAACATAAAGCGGCAAACAAGAACCACAATTTTTTTTTACGACAAAGAACCAATGTCACACACAGCCAACACATACCTGGCTTTAGTGTCTGAGTGTATCCGAGCCCGATCAGGCTGGAGTTGTTCACTTTAGCCTGGTAAAGGGAAACAGAGACAGAAAGAAAATGCTCAGTACTTCATGCTCCCTGCTCCGGAATAACTAAGGGCTTTTTAATCAACCAACTGTGAGCTTCAGAATCAGATTATCTTTCTTTATGACTATTTTGTTTATGGGGTTCATTAAATTCACTAGAAAATATATCAAATTTGGGAAACTGGTCTCCAAAGGGAAACTCAACACAATTTCCAATTAAAACAAAATTATTATTTACATTTGATTCCTGAAGGTATGATTGCCCAGTTTCACTTACACTGAGTAGGTCTGCATTCAAGTTATAGCAGATGGGGACACTTTCATGTATGGGCAGAGAGATAAAAGGCTCTCTTGTATGGAAGATTTCTTCAAGATTTACTTGTTTTCAAGGAAAACAGAGCAATTGTCAGACAGGGTTTTGAGGCTTTTTTTTTTTTTAAGGC